ACACGTCCATCGGCCCCCGGCGGGTCATTGCAGGTCACTGAAGCTGAGCTCCGGCGGGCTGTGGGAAAGGTCATCGCTGGAGTCACTGTCGCTGAGGTCGCTGTGCGTCTTGTGGCCCCGGCCGGATCTATCTCGGGATCCTGAGGAGGAAATAAGGAATATCGTCAGTCAGAGGGCCGCCGAGCTGTCCAATCACCACAAAGGGAAATTCTCCATCACATACTACAGACATCTGGAGATATCGCCCTCCATGTGACCTCTGGACCGGCACCAGTACTAGTTAATTGAGGGTTATAACCCCGGTCTGCATTTTTTTTTGCCATTTTTGTCCCAGTGGGGAGATTTCCCTAGCGGTCAGCAGAGTCCCCAACCCATCTCCATGGCAACAGATCAGTGTGTTGTTTTGTTTAAAACCAATTCCAGATAATGAAAGTTCCCCCCGTGCTGCCCATAGCAACCTCTGGAGGTCACTATGTCTGCAGTATATGAACCAATGCAAATTCTATCTGACCTCCAGCCTCCCCCTGCAATCTCCTAGCTGACCTCCGTCCTTCCCCTTCAGTCTCCTGTCTGACCTCCGGCCTCCCCTTCAATCTCCTGTCTGACCTCCAGCCTCCCCCTGCAATCTCCTAGCTGACCTCCGTCCTTCCCCTTCAGTCTCCTAGCTGACCTCCGTCCTTCCCCTTCAGTCTCCTAGCTGACCTCCGTCCTTCCCCTTCAGTCTCCTAGCTGACCTCCGTCCTTCCCCTTCAGTCTCCTAGCTGACCTCCGTCCTTCCCCTTCAGTCTCCTAGCTGACCTCCGTCCTTCCCCTTCAGTCTCCTAGCTGACCTCCGTCCTTCCCCTTCAGTCTCCTAGCTGACCTCCGTCCTTCCCCTTCAGTCTCCTAGCTGACCTCCGTCCTTCCCCTTCAGTCTCCTAGCTGACCTCCGTCCTTCCCCTTCAGTCTCCTAGCTGACCTCCGTCCTTCCCCTTCAGTCTCCTGTCTGACCTCCGGCCTCCCCTTCAATCTCCTGTCTGACCTCCGGCCTCCCCTTCAATCTCCTATCTGACCTCCGGCCTCCCCTTCAGTCTCCTATCTGACCTCCGGCCTCCCCTTCAGTCTATATGACTTCCGTCCTCCCCTTCAATCTCCTGTCTGACCTCCGGCCTCCCCTTCAATCTCCTGTCTGACCTCCGGCCTCCCCTTCAATCTCCTATCTGACCTCCGGCCTCCCCTTCAGTCTCCTATCTGACCTCCGGCCTCCCCTTCAGTCTATCTGACTTCCGTCCTTCCCTTCAGTCTTATATTTGTACATAAAGTGGAGGTTATGGGAGGCCTCCGGGTCTCACTCATACACCGATAGGGCTGAGCCGGTACCTCTTGAGATTGTGGGAACGCCAAGACTGTACGACGTGTCCTCAGAGCTGATGTCAGCCAGGCTGAGCTGTGATTGGGCGTCTTCCAGCGAGGACAGCGATGGCGATTTGCTGGCCGGCTTCCTGGCAGATCTGGGCCGTCCTATAGACAAGCAGAGAGATGACAGATTACGATAAGCGAGGCCAATACGGTGATGTCATCTTAGTCCAAAATCGGGTTTAACCCTTTCCTTTGCTCCGCCCCCCTTCCCCCCCCCTCCTTTAAAAGGGTCTTTACACTGGAGGCGTTTCCTGTGATCGCTGTGATTGGCTGTTGCAGTGATCACATGATCGGGAGCTCAGGCTACCAGTCCCGGATCCTTCCTGTGTGAGCGGGAGCCGTCAGTGACACCGCGGTCACAGCGCTCAATCAGCACAAGGCTCGCCTCCGTGCCGTCACACACAGTCGTACATCCAGCGGGAAGGAGTTAATGACCGGATCCTGACCAGCTGTGCACCTGCTGAAAGGTAAAATGAGGCTGGCAGTGGGAATGGCTGCTCTGTACGCTTCTGGGTGGGAGGGGCATAGCTAGGCTTCCAGGAGGCTCTTTCCTGACTGGCCCCGCCCCCTTCATTTATTAGATCTCGGCATCACATGTGGGCATTACCCAGGGTAAGAGAGGGGCCTCTGCGGGCCCCATGCCAGCAACTACCCCCCTGTGAAAGTCCTGGGCTGAGCACTTCCTTCTGACCGGCAGACATGCGGTCACGGACACGCCCACTGAGTACGCAGCTGCTGCCGGGAGTGGTCAGTGCAGGAACTAGAATGGAAGGGGGGTCAGAGGTGAGTCACATGGGCACTGCGGCCCTCGCCCATCCCCCACATTAATTACCCTTTACAGGTAATCGGCATCTGACTCCCGACCTAATGTAGACGATTGCATAGTGCGGGGAATCTGGAAATGGGGCGTACACCCCGAAAATCTCTCTCATTATTAACCGTCCCCCCCATTCCTGCATTGCACTCACCATCTCGCTCGGCCCTGGCGGGTCTGACCGAGACCTTTCCCTCCAGGACTCTCACCTCTTCCTTCAGATCTCCGATCGCCGACCTGCAGAGAGACCAGAAATCCTGAAACTCCCGACGTTTGTCATTTCTGATGGAGGAAAAAGTTAAATATCCCCTCCCCCCCCAACTACAGGGGGGCAGGAAGTGACCCCCCAATATCTACATCCAGCGGGCTCAACTTCCCCCATCCAGCTGCTCCACTCATTGCTTTCATCTGTCACCAAATCCGACTGGAGGAGATGCATGGAGGAGGTGAGCGGAGGAGATGCATGGAGGAGGTGAGCGGAGGAGATGCATGGAGGAGGTGAGTGAAGGTGAATGGAGGAACTCGTATGATTCACACAGCTACCTGATCAGCAGCAGATCCCTCTGTACGTTCTGTGCGTCCGACCGCGTCCTGCTCAGGTCCTGCGTCTGCATCTGATGGCTGCTCAGTAATCCTTCCAGAGCCTGCGCAACACACACACACACCAATTATTGTTGGGGGAAGAGGGGTGCAGATACATCCATGGACTGGAAGGTACATGGGGGGGGAGAGAGAGGGGTGCAGACACATCCATGGACTGGAAGGTACAGTGGGGGGGAGGGGTGCAGACACATCTATGGACTGGAAGGTATGGGGGATGGGGGGACTGGGGAGGGACCTTTTTGTTTTTTGGGTTTAGATATTTTATTTTCATTGGCAGAATTTTCCCACAATGCCGCGCTCCACTCACACAGGCGTTCCTTTCTTGCGCTCTCTTCAGCTCCTGTCCTTCTGAAAGTTGCCGCAGTAAGTCGTCCTCTTGCCGCCCTGGTGGGAGGAGATTATCAGTGACAGCACACAGCTAAAGAGAACCCGTCACCAGCAAACTTCACCGCGCCCCAGAACTCCGTCACACAACACTTACGTAATCTCTGGTGGAGATAGTCGCTGTCTCTGCGCAAACTTTCATATTCTTTCCATAGCAACCGTTTACTGCAAAACACAACAAGGCCGTTATAGAACCTGCGAGGTCTGCGGAGAGACGAGGAGAGCGCGCACCAGAGACAAGGGGGAGAGAGAGAGCGCGCCAGAGACAAGGGGAGAGAGAGAGAGCGCGCCAGAGACAAGGGGGAGAGAGAGAGCGCGCCAGAGACAAGGGGCGAGAGAGAGAGAGCGCGCCAGAGACAAGGGGGGAGAGAGAGAGAGCGCGCCAGAGACAAGGGGCGAGAGAGAGAGAGCGCGCCAGAGACAAGGGGGGAGAGAGAGAGAGCGC